CCGATTCTTTCCCCGATATATTGTGATCGGTTTCCCTTGTAAAATATTTCTCGTGAACGAAAAATACGCCATATCGGGCCTTCCCCATGGACCGTACACGGTGAAGAATCTTAATCCGGTAATTGAGAGACCGTAGATGTGATTGTAACTGTGGGTGATTTCTTCGCCTGCTTTTTTCGTGGCGGCGTACAAACTTGCCGGCTGGTCGGTCCTGTCGGCTTCAGAGAAAGGGACCTTGTCGTTCAAACCGTAAACGGAACTGGAAGAGGCCCAGACGATTGCCGGCTGGGGATTAGCCGATTTGCAAACTTCGAGAAGGGAAACGAGACCGGCGATGTTGCTGTGAACGTAAGAGTTGGGATTTTCCATGGCGTACCTGACTCCGGCTTGAGCCGCCAAATGCATCACGTGAGTAAAAGCCACCACGTCGAAGAGCTTAGCCAAAAGCTTGGCGTCGTTCAAATCACCTTCCACAACCAAAACACCATGGCTGTTAAGCAACGATTTCCTGGCTCTCTTCAACGAAGGGTCGTAATAGTTATTGAAGTTGTCAAGCCCAACGACACCGTCTCCGCGTTTTTTAAGGGCGAGCGAAACGTGTGTTCCGACGAAACCAGCCGCTCCGGTGACCAACACCGACATCCCCCCGGAACGATGGATCTGAGCGGAGTTCCGGACTTGTTTTTCCCATTGAATACCACCCCACGAAGCACTGAAATATCGGCCACCGGAATCAACGAAACTCTGGAAACTCAAATACGACACCGTCAATGCGATCAAGAAAAGCGCCCATAGAAACATGGTGCTGGTCGAAGCGAAACAACGATGGAATTGACGGCTCATACCGTGCCCTCTGTCGATCTTAAACTTCCCCGGCGTCGACGGAAACAGCTCCTCCTCCAAGGATGGCATTGTCGTACTATTTTCAAATTCTAAAACTTTATCCTTTCTTTTCAACAAAAGCAAAAATTTATCGAAACGACTCGATTATTAGCACATCAAAAGGATAAGAAAGAAAATGAGATTTTTGTTTTTATTTGTAAATTGATAATTTCTTGGATAGCCAAAAATAAAATAAAAAGAAACAGATGCAGAAAACAAAGGAACGAGAGTTTTAATTTTCCCTGCACCTGCTAATCCAGCCAAGGTGACGAAGGAATTTATATATAGTGGTCACCCACATTGAAACGACAAGTAATACGCGTAAACGCGTTAAAGGACGGCCAGATCATTTTTTTTAAACAACCCTACACTTTTAACTGTTTGCAGTAAAACAACAAATGATAACTAAAATACAATTTAAAGATATTTGTAAAGTTAAATTAATTTTTAATTTAGTTATTTTTTAATAATTTTTTAATAAACTACATATTTAATCACTAAATTGTTTTTACAATTTTATTTTGATCATCTATTTATTTTTTAAAAATTTATTATTAAACTTATGTTTATATTTTATTTTGATATTTCATTATTGAAAAATTAATGATGTAGTGTAATCATAAAATAAAATTACATCTATAGTTTTATTTATTTATAAAAAGAAGTGATCAAAATAAAATGAAAATATAAATTTAATGATAATTAAAAAAACAATTAAATTATTAGAACAAAATCTTAAAAATAGTTGAATCATTAAATATAAAATATATCTTTAAATATTTGTAGTTAATGTGAATACATTTAGTTTTCTGGAGATTGGGACCAGAATGTAATTTACTGCTACGCGGATTTGTTTGGAGAAATATGGTTGATTGACTGTTAATTTGTTTAGTGTCTAGTGTGTCTTTTCTGCATGATTATTGTACGATTTAATTGTATTATATATTTTTAAAATATAATTTTTATTTTAGATTAATCTTTAAATTTTTAAATATTTTAATTTTATTCTTAAATTATGACATTCATTTTAAATTAGTCTTTAAATTTTTTTACATTATAATTTCATCCCTAAACTATAACACTCTTTCTAAATTGGTCCTTAAACATTTTAATATTCCAATTTTATCCCTAAATTCATCCAAATATTTAATTAGTTTCAACCATAGTTCAACTTTTTTTTTGTTTGAAATATACAATAATATAACTTGGCCTAACGAAGTAATGATTTTATTAAAAAGGGATGTGATTAGTATATAAATATAGTTTGGGATGAAATTAGAATGTTCAAAAAGTTTAGGGACCAATTTAAAAAGAAGGTCATAGTTTGGGATGATATAATTAACTCTTATTGTATTAAAGTATTAGCATTAATAATTTTTTTTGTTAAGCTAAAAGTTATTACAATGTAGTATACGTTTTAAATCCACTCAATAATTTAAGAATTAACGTTCAATCATTATTGCAATAATATAAAATAATTTTTTTAAAAAATTTTAAATTTATCAGATTATTATAAAATATTATTGTATGTTATAACATTTTATGATTGAAATAATTATTTTAATATAATTTAATAATTATTTTATATACTACTTTTAAGATATAATTATTGAGGGTAGTTTGGGAATTTGGTGGTCAGAACATGGGGACCTTAATATCAGTTACTATCTTATGCATATGCTGTTTAAATAATTGGGTTAAACTCTCGAGATAACGTTCTCGAATAAATTATTTTACGAGATAATGCTCTCCCAATATTAATTGCTCAAATAGGGTGAAATCTACAGTGTTGGTCGTAGGTCGCCATGTCTTCCCGGCGAGCTATGAGAGAGATTGCATGTGCCATGCACGTTCCAACACGTTGGGCATCCGAGGCCATCCGACCGAGCTATGCGAGGGCAATAGGAATCACGCGAGGAGTAGGAGGGAGTGTATGTCGACCTACAAGATCGTCAGGAGTGCATGGCGACCTACAAGGTCGCCCGGAGGGCATGACGACCTATGCTTGGGGACGTGCATCACTGGCCACGTAGTAGGTCGCCCGGAAGGCATGACGATCTACGTCCAACACTATAGATTTCACCTTATTTGAACAATTAATCTTGGGAGAACATTATCTCGTGAAATAATTTGTTCGAGTATTTTTAATTTATGTGCAAGATGAACTGGTTACCTGGAGAAGCGGTTGTGACTAGAAATGCAGAGAGGCTAGAAAACCGAAAGAAAGACTTAAAATAAAACAGCGGCTAATTAGCAATACCCGGCGTTTCCGGTGGATTCGGCTGTCTGATCTTCAATAGTCGTGTGGGAATTGGGCGGTGCTCCTTACTTTTGTTTTTGTTTTTATTATTATTTTCTGATCTATTTTCGGTTTCCCTTGATTATTCTTTTGTATTCCATTGACTATGCCATTATTTATTTATTTATCTAATTAAAATAAAAACGATTAATATTTTATTTGCTTCCTATTATTTGTCTTCATTGTATTGAATTTCTAGATTCTTTGTTTTGTGTGAGTTTAAGGCAAGCTTGTTTGGCAAATTGCGGGGGTGGGATCCACTTGTGAGAAAATAAAAGTAAAAATGTTGTATCGTAAAGTAAAGATTTAAATGGGATCTAAAATCGGGAGTAAATAGTCTGATATCCTTTGAGAAATTTATATTCATATCTTAAAGTATTATATGTTAGTACGAATTAAATAATCTCAGAAATTAATAAATTTATTATTATTTTTTGAATTTTTGAACTCAAATATCACGTTTTCATAGATACAAGCGCATATTATTGAAAAGTTGAGAATTTTAAAATATATATTATGTTATGTTCACTTAAAATTTATAAAAAGAAAATATTATAGATTAAGATGTTATATTTTTTTGAAAAACATTTAAAATATTTTGAGTTTCTCAAAGACATACATCTAACATGGATATTTTTTTTTCTTCAAATTAGTGAGCTTGCTCACCACGACTGCTGCATCGCCTTCAATTATTGTGTCTTCCCAACCTTGTTTCACCGCTAATTGAAGACATGTTATGAATGATTTTGCTTTATCTATTTTCGACTCAACACAGTCTGTGAGTTTACGTGCATGGCATGCAAGCATTTAACTAAATTAATCACGTGTTACCACGCCATGGAGACGGATATGGAGCTAGGATTTGCAACCGAAAATTCTTGCTGCAGTGATTTGGCATTCTCTGCCATTAAAAAAACATGGTTGAAGGCTGAGGTTGATGTTATGAGTTCAATTGTTGTGTCTATTCCAAGTGTTCCAAAAGCAACACAACAAGACGTAACAAATCGATTCATAACAACAACTTTTAACCATATTTATTAAAATATGGTTATAAATAAGTTATGTCGATGTTAAAATTGATATACGGTTTAATATAATAACAATTTTAATCCTAATTCGAGGATCAAAATAACAATGAATAATTGTATTCTACAACAAATTACTGATAAAAACCTTCATATTTTATTCGATCGGTATAAATCAATTATATGATTAAGAAAATTACATTACATCTTTATAAACTTTTTATGCAACAAAAAAATATGACTCAAGATAATATTGATTAAGAGTCGATATAATATATTTTTCTTTGGCTGCCCTTCTGGTTCTCAAGGCTTTGCTTTGAGTTAATTTGGACTGACCCGAGTCGTATACATGGCTGTGGTGGGTGAATCTCCCAAAAGGGATTTTCTTAATAAATTTTAAAAGATAAACTGAGTCATCTTGTTGTGGGCTCGTGGCATTGAACTCGGACCATGATGTCCATAATATATATTTTATTTAATTATTAGTATTTGATCTCTTAATCTAGATTAAAAATTATCTAGATTTATTATAGAATAATTTTTCTAATTTAATTTATTTCATTAACAACGTCAAGATTTATTTTCAAGATTCATTTTCAGTTTAATCCATGTTATCTGTAATATAATTAACAATATAAAATAATATCACAACTATATGAATGCACGCTAGTTGCAGGGTGCCATGCAAGTTGAGTTCACTATATACTCACCACATAAAACAATATGAATATCTTCATCTTATCCATTCATAATTTAATCAAAAATCAAAAACAAAACTTTGAACGACAATCTTGTCAGTTCTGATTCATCCCCATATCATCACCGTCGGTGAACTTATCAGGCAGAAGTGGTGTTTCCAGATCAACTTGACAACTCTTGTCAGATGACACATCTTGCACCACCCTTGTCTGGTCGTTCAGCAGCGTTGGATCCGACTCATGTTCCCTTTGTTCAAGGTCTTTAGCTTTACCCCATAGCACAATATACAAACCCACAATCACCGCAAAAGCACCCACCAAGCTGATCCAAAACCATATTACCACATATTAATCAATCTTTTCCCCAAAAAAAAAACGTGTAAATCTGTTCATTTTGAAGTTTTACCTTCCTGTGTATGTCTCCTCGTGTTGGAATACAGCAGCAAATACCGCGACAATAACAGTGCATAGAGGGTTAAACACGGAAGCAAAGAGTGGACCTCGTCGTGAAATGCACCAGGCTTGAACGAAGAACGACACTGCCAATGCCATTCCCTAAAAAAAATAAACATTTTCAACTCATTTTAAGATCCAATGCTTTTGGAATTGAACGATGACATAGGAGAATGATTGTCTGACCGTATATAAACAGCAATAAAGATCTAGATATGAGTTCAGACTCCAAGCTCCTACATCTTTCTCCACCAACAATGCCACTGTTGCTGATTCTAGTGTGGCCAGGAAACACATCCAAGTTGATGAATACAAATGATCTGGACAGATTGCTGAAATTGGTACCTGCAAGACCATCCAAAGTGACCAGAAAAAGCTGCTTGCAAGCAGAAGTAGACACCCCATCAACCAGGTTTCACCTCCAGTGCCCAACAAAGACTTTGGAGGTAATAGTTGTGTGTTTAGTAGCTTTGGACCTTTGAGCAACGCCATGGAAATGGCTCCACCCACACAGATCACAGTTCCTAGTATCTTGGCTAAAGTTGTCAGGCTTCGTATGTTAAGTTTCTCCAGCCTAATCATATCAAGATCAGCTTATCAGGAAAGTTTAAAAGATTCCCAGATTGTGGTGTATTATGAATTGTTTTAATTAGTAATTACCCAAGAATGGCAGTCAATACAAAGGTGACTGCTGGGATTAGGTTGGTCATTGCACTTGTTACTGTTGAAGACGACAAGTATAGCCCCTCGAAATATGCGTTCTGATTGGCTGTAACACTGCAAAAACAAACGAAAGAAAATGAATCATTCATTCATCCATGATAAAAGGAAAACAAAATAGAATAAGCCAGCGGCATTCACCCAAGAAGAGAAGCAAACAATATCCATCCAAATCCCTTCAACCCCAAACTGCTCCTTGATGAGTTTTTCCTGCCAACAGCAACAAAAACCATGTGAGAGATGAATATACATACATAACTCGTCTGGCATGAGGAGAAGATTGCAGAGTTACCTCCTTGAGACGAAAGCTATAGGGGCAATGAGCAAGGTTGCAAAACCCTGCCTATAGACAACAAACACCCTGGGACTCAGCCCTTTCACCAGAGCAACCCTGGTGAATAGAGCTACTCCGGCATAGATGAATTGCAGTCCGATCATGGCCATAGCAGGCAAGTAAGCATCTGTTCTTCTTCCCATATTTCTTTTCAGCACTGCAACTTCGGTACCTAAAAACTTCAATATCTATGGGCCTTATAAAGCAGGAGATCAATGAAAGAAGCTGCTAAAGTTTTGGTGTGGTGAACCGAGTCAAAAGAAATGCACCGTGATTAAGAAAAAAACAAACAATAACGTGCCAAGAAAACAATTATATTATCTTTTGAGGTGACGCGGCGAGTTCACATTGTTATTATCGTCGAAACTAAAATAAAGAAAATTATTGGGTTTGGAGTTTATCATTTATGTATATATTATCCTTCAATACAATTGGATTAGGATATGCATGGAACTTATAACGTGTCGTGGATTTTCTGAGTTGGAGATTTGACCTATCTGTCATTACTGTGATATAATAATTTTTTATACGTTTTATGAGTTGGCTTTGTCTTGCATGAATGGAATAAGGAATTCTTTTAGGTTAAGAAGTAAAATTTAAATATAATTTTATTAATTGGTTAAATATTAGTCGATAGATACTGCTATTATTATTACAATTAAAAAGGCTTATGTGTTTAAATATAATTATTTTTAATTAAATATTAAGAGATTAAAGGCAATTTGATTATTTTTTTCGTTTTAAAGACCATTGTAATCCTAATTTCGCCGCAGACAGCTTGGGCCTACACATACACGCTGAGCACATGGAGACTAATATTCTGAGATGAAGGTGAAAAAGAAGGATATAGAGGATATACCTCAAACAATATAAAATAACTTACCAACTTGTTTCCTTTTTCTCTTTAATAAAGAGCTAATGTCCTACAGTTGAAAGATGCAAGGCATCCATTGCTAGCAGAGGAATTGTTCTAGTCAGTGGGGACGTAAAGTGAATGATATCCAGATTACTAGGATCAATACTTTTCGCCAGCATGTCTGTTGGTTTATTACAGTAACGAGGAATCTATATAATATTCGTAGCCCATTTGCGGTGTCTGAGGTTGTCAATAATCTAATTAGAGAGAATGGACTAAGACTTGTGTTCGATGCATTTAGGAGCTTGATTGCTTTTGCACAAATTCAAACTCCTGTTCCTAGGCGAATTGAAGTCCAACGAGAACCGTTCAGAGTTCAGCTTGAAGAGCTTGTATAATCTCAATAGTATTCTGAAAACCTGAAAGTCAAGTTTCTGATCGATCATGGATAAGACTAGGGATGGGCATGGGCCGGGTTTTTGGTCCACCCGACCCGACCCGATAGATAGTTTAAAAAAACCCGATCCGGCCCGAAATAATAATAAAAAATTATTTTTATTCAATAAAAACAGTGACTAAATTGAAAAAATAATATATGGAGGGGTATTATTGTAATTATTCCTAAATATATATGGTAAAATTATATATTTTTCCCGGGTCGGGTCGGATTTTTTTCACCCTAAACCCGAATCCGACCCGAACACCACATAAAAAAACCCGACCCGACCCGAACCCAAATTTTTTTTTTTAGAAAAATCCGACCCGATCGGGTCGGGTCGGAACCCGTCGGGTTCGGGTTAGATGCCCATCCCTAGATAAGACCACCGATAGAATAAAAATAAAATAAAAAAAAGGATCTTTGGTTTTTTTTTTTAATATATAAAAATTTAGGTAAGAGGTAATTTTCCAATCCAAAGTCAGGACATACCTAAGACTCAATTAAAATTTATATAAAAATTTAAAGATCGTTCATTCCATCAAGTTGATGGATTAGTCCTCCGTTTTTTTTTTAAATGGTGGCTGCCCTTTATTTCCGCTGTGTTGTACAATCGAACTCTAATAATCATTGAACACCTCTGCACGAATCTCACTACGTGTTATAGATTTAAGATTCAAATTATGCTATACTCTTCATTTAAAAATCATCTTTACACATTTCAACTATATATATTCTCTGATAAATTTTTTTTTTGGATAATTTCATTTTTATTACCTAAGAACAGGTTCTATTACAATCAACTAGGACAAGAACAAACTACTAACAAAAAGAATCAAAATCAATACAAGTCCCAGTGCTCAAGTAGAGAATTATTAACACTGTCATTCCTATTTATTTTTCTATCTCTCAATTGAATACCAACTACATCCTTTATGGCATGAAAAAGATCTTTAGGATTTATGATTCTTGCTTGAAACAGACGTTTATTTCGTTCATCCCAAATGGTATATATAAGAGAAGTAAATGTGAGCTTCATAATGGAAGTTAGAAGAGATTTTCCCTTCCATTTTGAGCAAGCCCAAACAATAAGAACATCCCAAGAGCATATTGTAAAATGAAAACCAGAGAGTGAGCAAACAGAATTCCAAAGTTGAACAGCCACTGGGCATTGGATGAACAAATGTTCCCTAGTTCCGCATGGATCATCGCAGAATATGCATTTGCAGTCCGTGATAAGTCCCAGTCGATGGAGTCTATCTCTTGTAGGAAGTTTATCAAGTAATGCCATCTAAGAAATCAAATTATATTTGGGGATATGTAGGGGAAACCAGATAATTTTCTGCCATGGAACATGAGGTCGTCTATCTCGTAGAGCATCCCAAATATCTTTTATTTTCACTGCTCCAGAATTGAGAATGGGATAGGCCACAAATCTGAGTTTAAAGATACGCCTTAGGCTCCAGCTATAAGAGGGTCGAATGACAACGTTCCAGAAATCGTTGTCTTTTAGAACATAATATTTAATCCAAGCTACCCATAGAGAGCCTTCACCTGCTAGAATGTTTTTAATTAGGTAGATCATACAAGCTTTGTTCCATGAATTCAAGTCTTTAATACCAAGCCCACCCTCAGATTTAAGGAGACATACATTCTGCCAGCTCACTCTAGCACCCGAAGCAGATTTGTCAGCTCCTTTCCAGAACAACCATGAACAGAGCTGCTCTATCTTGTTTAGTACAGAGTGTGGCATAAAAATCTGTCTGCACCAGTAATTGGAGATACTAAACAGTACTGTTTTTATTAATTCAAGCCTTCATGCATAGCTTAGAGTTTTAATAGACCAATGATTCAACCTTACTCTAATGTTATCAAGGAGAACCCCGCAATCCTTTTCAGTGATTTTTCTACAGACCATCGGAATTCCTAAGTATCTGACAGGAAGAAGATCGCATTTAAAACTAGTGATCAGTTGAATGTCCTCAAGGATTGATGGGTGCATTCCAGCAGCATATAAATCACATTTAGAGGCATTAAGTTTGAGTCCAGACATCTCATAAAACTGGTCTAAGACACTAGTGACCCCAATTATCGATTCAGTTGCGGCTTTGCAGAAAATTAAAAGATCGTCAGCAAAAGATAGGTGAGTAATACCTATTCCTTTACATTTGGGATGATAACAAAAAATGCCTCTAGCAGCTGATAGATTGAGGAGTGCAGAGAGGATATTCATTGAGAGAACAAACAATAACGGGGAGAGGGGATCACCTTGTCTAATACCTTTAGCTCCCTTGAAAAAACCAATTAGGCTCCCACTGAAGGAAATAGAATACCTTGTTGTAGAAAAGCATAGTTCAATCCAGTTAATGAAGGTACTTGGAAGTCCAATAGCTTTCAGTATGAATGAAATGAAATTCCAATTTAGCGTATCAAAAGCTTTGTGAAGATCAATCTTGAGATAGCATCTTGAGGAGATATTCTTCCTGTTGTACCCTCTAACTAGTTCTTGGGCTAGTATAGTGTTATCTATTATGCTTCTTCCTTTAACAAAAGCAGTTTGGTTGAAGGAAACTATATAAGGAATTAGGGATTGCAATCTACTAACTAGAATTTTAGAGATGGCTTTATAGAAGACAAAACAACATGATATAGGTAAGAAATCTTTGACTTTGCTTGGGTTAGGGTCTTAGGCACCAAAGCAATAATGGTGGCATTAGAAGCTGGAAGAAAAAAAGAATCAGAGAAGAATTGCTTTACAACTGCAATAGTATCTACTCCTATGATATACCAAGCTTTTTTGAAGAAGTAAGGAGTATATTCATCCGGGCCGGGAGACTTATCATTACCTTGGCAGAAGAAAACAGCCTTGATTTCCTCACTTGAGATTTCCTTAACAAGGTCTTGGGCATTATCATCGGTCACAGTGTACTGAATAATGTCTTACAACAAAGAAGGATCAATAGTTTGTACCTCATTATCAATATTTTAATTTCGCACCTCATTCTATATTTTGGCATTCATAACCTAAAATCAAGAGTAGCAACATGAGTCGCGAGATGTCGGCAAGTGAACAGTTTCAGAGAGCTGGGGAGCTTTGTTAGTTATATGGTGACAAAGATACCTGGGCAACCTATCCAGCTACAACCGCCATAGATGGTCCCTCTCCTCTCTTGCATCTTTACCAAAAACAAACACCATCCCATCTGCCTTTTTCAATATTTCTCCACAATTTGATTAATCCAATAAATTAATTTTTATTTTATACATCAATAATTGTCTTCCTCCTCTTAAATACATGAACCTCTAATTAACACATGGATGCAAACACACGTGGTGGCATTTTGGGCATAATTATTCACTATAAAACTAACGTCTTCCCTCTCTACTTTCGATCACCAATCTCCCTTGCAGCAATTCTATAGTGCAAAAAATGAGATCATCAAAGCGTTGCCCTCGATTCAGAAGGAAGGTTTTGGTTATGAGAGGGAGAAAGACCCGAAGAAATGGCACCGAGTCTGTAAGAACGTGCATTGAAAGGAAGCTTCTGCAGCTGCAAAGGATGCTTCCATCTGCTTCTTCCGAGATTAATGGGGAAACGTTGTTTCAAAGTACTGCTGATTATATTTTTCTTCTCCAAGCTAAACTGAGTTTGCTTCACTGTTTATCTGCTTTTTATGGAGTCTAGCAGCTGCCGTTTTATATTGGGTTCTAGTTCGTTTTACTGTTGTAAATGATCAGATGAATGTTTCCCGTAATATGTATTCTTTGATGTCTGTGTTCAATTCTTTAATAAAAGAATACGTTGCATAGATTATCCAATCATCAATCTTCCGGTATAAAATCCTCTGCCGCTGTTTTCACCCAGAGAAGCGATCCAA